TCGCTAAAATCATCAAAATACCGAATATCGGGAGGTACCGTTATATGGGGGCTATATGATAACTTGGACCTACATGGCCCATTTTCAAACATAACCTGCCTACTGGCAAAATATACATGTGTGCAAAATTTTAGAATTCTATCTCAATTTGTTCGACACACAGACACACAGACAGACAGACGGACATGGCTAAATCGTCTTAGAATTTTACGCTGATCAAGAATATATATACTTTGTTGGGTCTGACATGAGTATTTCGAGGAGTTACAAACGGAATGACAAAATTAATATACCCTACATAGTATGATGGAGGGTATAATAATAATAAGTGGATTGGACATTTAGTCAGAAATGGATTTCTTCCTAAACTTTCAAGATGCCTTAAATCGCTTTTGCAGGTCATGATATGGGTCATAACCCCCGGATAAGGGTACAACCGAATTTCGAATTATATTCTTCATACTAGTTGTGTTCCAGTACTTTTTTAGCGTTAAAACTGGCAGAAGAGAGAACAGTACAAAATGCCATTCTCATTTAGGTGTGCTCAACAAATAAGGGAACGGAAAATTAGCAGAAATACGATAAAATGTCAACATTCAAAATTCCAAAAGGAAACAGTCTAAATCGGACTGTTGAACCCTTACTGAAATGGACGCCAAATTTTAAAAAAATGAGTATTGAAAATAAGTTGAAATTAATAATTATTTTTGAATGCTGTTTATTTAGAAAGTTTTGTTTCAGAATGCGTTGAAGAGTATTTAGAGGTGGAGTTTTCTCAAATCCCAACCCCGGAGAAGCTGACATGGTTGGAGCCGCCGGTTTAATTAATGTTAAGTCTGCTAGAAGACTAAATGCCACAAGTTGGGAAGACAGCCAACCTAAAAAATAAAAAGAACATGTTCAGTAATAAGCGAACATCTTTGATTTTAAGCTTATTATACCCTCCACCATGGGTAGGAGGGTATATTAACTTTGTCATTCCGTTTGTAACACCTCTAAATATTCGTCGTAGACCCCATAAAGTATATATATTCATAATCAGCATAAAATTCTAAGACGATTTAGCGATGTCCGTCTGTCTGTCTGTCCGTCTGTCTGTCTGTCTGTTGAAATCACGATAGAGCCCACATTATTTGACGTAGACCTAGGATGGTTGGTATTGAAAATGAGATATATCGGTCCACGTTCTGGTATAGTCCCCATATAACGGTACCTACTGATATTCGGTATTTTGATGATTTATGCCACATTTTTTCACGGATTTATCTGAAAATTGGTATTTGTATGTCATGACGGGTCCCTGAGCGTGTGGCAAAACATTGCATGTATAAGTCCACGTTTTGGTATAGCCCCCATATAACGGTACCTACCGATATTCGGTATTTTGATGATTTATGCCACATTTTTTCACGGATTTATCTGAAAATTGGTATTTGTAGGTCATGACGGGTCCCTGAGCGTGTGGCAAAACATTGCATGTATAGGTCCACGTTTTGGTATAGCCCCCTTATAACGGTACCTACCGATATTCGGTATTTTGATGATTTATGCCACATTTTTCACGGATTTGTCTGAAAATTGGTATTTGTAGGTCACAACGGGTCCCTGAGCGTGTGGCAAAACATTGCATGTATAGGTCCACGTTTTGGTATAGCCCCCATATAACGGTACCTACCGATATTCGGTATTTTGATGATTTATGCCACATTTTTTCACGGATTTATCTGAAAATTGGTATTTGTAGGTCATGACGGGTCCCTGAGCGTGTGGCAAAACATTGCATGTATAGGTCCACGTTTTGGTATAGCCCCCATATAACGGTACCTACCGATATTCGGTATTTTGATGATTTATGCCACATTTTTTCACGGATTTATCTGAAAATTGGTATTTGTAGGTCATGACGGGTCCCTGAGCGTGTGGCAAAACATTGCATGTATAGGTCCACGTTTTGGTATAGCCCCCTTATAACGGTACCTACCGATATTCGGTATTTTGATGATTTATGCCACATTTTTCACGGATTTGTCTGAAAATTGGTATTTGTAGGTCACAACGGGTCCCTGAGCGTGTGGCAAAACATTGCATGTATAGGTCCACGTTTTGGTATAGCCCCCATATAACGGTACCTACCGATATTCGGTATTTTGATGATTTATGCCACATTTTTTCACGGATTTATCTGAAAATTGGTATTTGTAGGTCATGACGGGTCCCTGAGCGTGTGGCAAAACATTGCATGTATAGGTCCACGTTTTGGTATAGCCCCCTTATAACGGTACCTACCGATATTCGGTATTTTGATGATTTATGCCACATTTTTCACGGATTTGTCTGAAAATTGGTATTTGTAGGTCACAACGGGTCCCTGAGCGTGTGGCAAAACATTGCATGTATAGGTCCACGTTCTGGTATAGTCCCCATATAACGGTACCTCCCGATATTCGGTATTTTGATGATTTATGCCACATTTTTTCACTGATTTGTGTAAAAGTTGGTATTTGTGGGTCATAATGGGTCCTAGTTCGTGTGGCGAAACATTGTAATTATAGGTGCACGTGTTGGTGTAGCCCCTATATAACGGTACCTCCCGATATTCGGCATTTTAACGTTTTTTGCCACATTTCTTCTAATGTTCTTTTACCCTAGGGTGGAGGGTATTAAAAGTTTGGCCCGGCCGAACTTAATGTTTTTTTACTTGTTTTTCAATTAACCTTTCACTAATTTTGCACTGTTTTCCAATACGTTTTCATCGTCTGATTCCTTATTCAGGTTGAAACATTTTTCAACCTTGTTAGCCCTGCCAATTAAATGTCAAATTTACAATTTGCACATTTCTGCTCTGCCAAATTCATGTAGCTAAAACAAGCAGAAATGTGCACCACTCAGCGCCATTTTTTTATCGAGAGAGCTGCAAGTTTTGCTAGTTTTTGGAGTACGGGAACGCGTTTTAGCAGAATTAGCACTAATTAGTACTAATTTGTAGGTTCTGGAACACAACTACTAATATCGGCAAATTTTGGTAATTTGAGAAGAAACCATACATGCAAAATATTATTAGGTTTTGGTATAACCATCATATGATTCTATTTTCGGGGTCTTGGCCACTTTTTTTCCATTTTTTGGCATCTTTTTTTCTAAGGGGCAGAAAATCTCTTCGCATACAATTTAAAATTTTCAGAGTAGGGCCCATGGTGGAATGAAGAAGGTAAAGTCACGCAAACATATGTGAAGTGAAATTTAGCAAGGTAAATTACAGAAAATGCAGAGATGGGTATGCTTATTTGAAATGACTTTACCTTCTTAATTTTATAATTATGGTCTTGACCACATTCATCAATTGATTTGGCTAAAAATTATATTCAGGCTACTCTGGGGTAGAGAACCATCTTACAGATAATTGTCCACCTAGGCATTATCAACCCAATGTGTGGTCAGCATAGAAAATTTTGTATTCTATTAAATTTATAACACCCAAATAATATTGGATGGAAATGCAGATTTGGGGTGTGCGTGCATATGAAATAAACTCCAAAATGTGAAACTGAGACTTTTTCAGTCGGAAATTGCGGCAGAAACATGAAAAAATTACGAATATAAGAAAGTAGCACGTGACCGAACATTTGTTTGATCTTTATTGAATTATGCTAATATGAAAACTATGGACTTTATGGGGTCTCCAACACACAATTTAAAAATAGTTCCCATCTTACGGGTGTAAAATAGTAATTATCTTTGACTATTCTAAAATCATTCTGACTTCAATTACGTGGTAGACAGCGCGAAATACAAAGTCCAAATTACAGCACATTTGAATGGAAAATGTTTCTAAGCTCTTTATAATACAAAAAATTGAGCTGGGTTGTCGCCTGGGGATATTATAGATGTTCTATATTATATAGGTTTTTAACCGTCAAATCAAAGCTTATATCTGAAAAACAAGTAAAAAAACATTAAGTTCGGCCGGGCCAAACTTTTAATACCCTCCACCCTAGGGTAAAAGAACATTAGAAGAAATGTGGCAAAAAACGTTAAAATGCCGAATATCGGGGGGTACCGTTATATAGGGGCTACACCAACACGTGCACCTATAATTACAATGTTTCGCCACACGAACTAGGACCCATTATGACCCACAAATACCAACTTTTACACAAATCAGTGAAAAAATGTGGCATAAATCATCAAAATACCGAATATCGGGAGGTACCGTTATATGGGGACTATACCAGAACGTGGACCTATACATGCAATGTTTTGCCACACGCTCAGGGACCCGTTGTGACCTACAAATACCAATTTTCAGACAAATCCGTGAAAAAATGTGGCATAAATCATCAAAATACCGAATATCGGTAGGTACCGTTATATGGGGGCTATACCAAAACGTGGACCTATACATGCAATGTTTTGCCACACGCTCAGGGACCCGTCATGACCTACAAATACCAATTTTCAGATAAATCCGTGAAAAAATGTGGCATAAATCATCAAAATACCGAATATCGGTAGGTACCGTTATATGGGGGCTATACCAAAACGTGGACCTATACATGCAATGTTTTGCCACACGCTCAGGGACCCGTCATGACCTACAAATACCAATTTTCAGATAAATCCGTGAAAAAATGTGGCATAAATCATCAAAATACCGAATATCAGTAGGTACCGTTATATGGGGACTATACCAGAACGTGGACCGATATATCTCATTTTCAATACCAACCATCCTAGGGACAATACACACACTTGTGCCAAATTTCAAAGGTCTACGTCAAATAATGTGGGCTCTATCGTGATTTCAACAGACAGACAGACAGACGGACAGACAGACAGACAGACGGACAGACAGACAGACGGACATCGCTAAATCGTCTTAGAATTTTATGCTGATTATGAATATATATACTTTATGGGGTCTACGACGAATATTTAGAGGTGTTACAAACGGAATGACAAAGTTAATATACCCTCCTACCCATGGTGGAGGGTATAATAAGATCAGGCTATTCAAATTATCTGACACCAACGGTAAGCGAACATCTATTATAATTTTTGCCATGAATATTTATTTCTATTTAGAAATTACTATGGATTCATTACTCATTATATACAAAAAAATATGCATTAAACACTAAAAGTACGGGTCGGCAACGCGGACCGGGCCAGCTAGTATAATATGAAATGAAATCATTAAAAAATACTTAACTTGAGTTGAAAAAGGAACGACTACTAAAAAAAAGATTAGTTGAAATGGAAATATGTAACGTTTATCTGTTATATGTCACAATTTTCGAGTTTTTGCACCACAAAAATAGTTTTCCATCTATTGCAGGTGAAGAGCGCCAGCTGACTAGACAAACCACCGTAGTTTTGACACAATTACGTTCAGGGCGGTGTAGTCGTCTCATATTCATATTTTAGCAATAGAAGCAAAAGTAATCTTTTGGTATAAATAATGGTGTTAGGATATAAGGTAACAGCAAATATACAAAAATTAAAAAAAAAAATAGTCACTTGCATTTATTTTGGTGGAAAATAATGGGAATGACACCTGAAAAATTAAATAATAAAACACATCTCCACCAAATATTTTAAACTTACAGACGTGTTTTAATTTTTTTATAAACATATTTTATTGGGAAAATTCCTTGCTCGTTTTTAATTTGAATGAATTTCACTGTCAATTCAAATGTTTATACAATAAATTAAACGGTAGCACAAAGAGAAATTGTATGAACTGTGCTTCTTTCGACACACAGACTTTGTCTACTCAATAATGTGATATGCACGGTGTTATCCACAAATGCAATATGTCGACGATGACAGCGAATTACCCAGCAAGCAAAAACTATCCCCCAAATCACTTAGAAGTCACGCCTAAGCGATAGAAATCATCGCGTTTGATATCGCATTCTCACCCCGGAAGTAGCATCTTTCGGGAAGAAATTTGGAGTTCTTAATCACATTCGAGTCTTTTTTAATCCGGTAGCGCGAATTAAAAGCTGGAATACGCGACTCTTCTAAATAAATCACATCTGAGTTTTCCTCTAGATTAGTTAACAGCCTGTTCCACGATGTCGAAAGAACACGTTCGCACAACTTTTACACGACAAACAGCTGATTTCCGTTCCACTAAAATCCATCAGAACGAAAATTTGCACGAAAATCAAAGCGAACGAAAACGTAAGCGTTTCAATGTAATTTTGCGTTCCACTATCTTTTTTCTTTCGTACGCATGCGAACACAAATGTCAAAATCAGTCACTTGTGTGTTTGCTGTCGAATGATAAAAATTAAGGAAAATTGTTTTAACATAAACATTCCTTGATTGAAAATGGAAAGAAAAATGTAAGTAAAAATAATAAATGCAATTTATTCTGTGAACAACAAATATATATTTTTTTATTTTCTCAATTCCAGCACGAAAAAACTACACAGCTGCGGGCACTAGTTGAGTATATGGGGGAGAATCCTAAGTTCGCCAGAGGAGTGCCAATTTTCGGAAGCAGCAGGCAATCCCATGAAGACCACTGGAAGACACAAACCTAGAAAAAATCATTTTTTTATTATTTCAAAAATGTAAAAATACAATCATACTTACTGGTTGTTAGGTACTTCAAATAAATTCGAAGCATCTCTTAAATGCCTCCGTGGCACAATTTGAACCTCCTCCTCATCATCCATAAAAAATAGGGCTACAGAAATATTCATTTTTTTTCTTTTTTAAGAACACAAATAATCTGAACACAATCACTAGAAATTTTATTTTGTTTGTTTATTTACAATTTGTTTGTTTACAACTGAACTGTCAGTTGAGACAGAGCCACTGCTGCTTTTTCGCGTTTAAATTGGACATTTGGCGCTTTTTTTTGCCTTATTTCGCGATTAATTTTGCCAAAAAATATTTTGCAACACTGAATCACGTAAGGCTATGCGAAAGAAAGAACGAAAGTTAGTGGAACGCATTCTTATGCGAAAGTGAGTGAGTAGCCTTCGTTCGCACAAATTTTCTTTCGAGATCGTGGAACAGGCTGTAAGAGTCTTTTTCGACCATTTTCTGGTCGTTCTACGAGTTTTTTTTTGAGTCGTTTTCTAATCATTTATTACGCTAATATTTTTAATTTGTGAATCTTTTTCGAGTTTTTTTTTTTTTTTTTTTTTTGATAATTTATGAGTCTTTAGTGAGTAATTTATTAGTCTTTTAAGTGTCATATATTCATATTGTCATTTAGGAGTCTTTTTTAAGTCACCTTTGTCTTAAATTCGAGTTATTTATGAGTGTTTACGATTTTAGGAATCACATACGTGATTTCTAAATATTCGGATGTACCGTGAAAAAAAGAATATGTGCATATATGTTTATATAAAAGTTTATTTAATTTTGTGTTCATTTTCATGTGTAATATAAACAACATTCTTAATAAATAAATAAAAAAGGAACTGTAATTGGATCTTTTTCTTCTAGCGATCCGTCTGCAGCGTGAACAAAATGTTTCTGAAGGATTGTCGTTGCTAGTATTTGAGATGACAAATATCTAAAATAAAATATGTACAAGTCTGTCCATTTTACTAATTCTTTATATACGTATTAAAAAAACAAACTTACTTTTGATTACTGTAACTAAATAACACATTTCTGCACTCAGATTTACACTGATCCCCTTCCAGCTGCATTGGCAGGCTAATTTATCTGAAAAAACCGTTTGGTTTTTGCAATAAACTGTTTCTGGAAATAGATTATCAATAAATTGTATAAGTATTAATCTAATCTAAATCAATTGTTATTCGTTTGTAATGGAATCAGTTGAGAACGGCTGGACCGATTTGCATAATTTTTTGTACAAACGTTCGTCATACCCCGAGTTAAGTTTTTAAAGAAAAGAAAATATTGACCACGCCTACTTTTACGCCCACTATTTCGATTTATCTAAAATCCTTATATTAGCCAAATATGAAGATATCGGTATAAAAAATTATTACAGGAGATACCGTTGACTTTCCATCCAGTCCTAAGTATTTATTTGTGCGCTGAGGAACTCAGAACGTCGGGAACGGTTTGGATGATTTTTTTTGAAAATGTTTGTTCTTCCCCGAGTTAGGTTTTTATGTAAAGAAAAAGTGACCACGCCCAAATTCTACGCCCACTTGATCGATTTACCTAAAATTCTAATATTTGAAGAATCATGAAGATATCTGTTCCACAGTTAGTATACGACGTAATCTTGACTCGCCCTCCAACCCTAGGTATCTGTTTGGGGTAAGAACAACTGGACACAACTACTTATTTAAATCAATATGTAAATATTTTAAAAAAGTGTAGCAGTTGAGAACAGCTTTGTTTATTTGTAACTAGCTGGCCCGGTCAGCGTTGCCGGCCCGTACTATTAGTCTTTAATGTATATTTTTAAAGCATAATAGAAGACAGATCTGAATTATTTAAGCGACACAATTTTTATCATAAGTAAAATAACTCCATAGTAATTTCTAAATAGAAATAAACATTCATTTCAAAATTATAATAGATAATTACCCACCGGTTTTAGATATTGTGAATAGGCTGATCTTATTTTTCAGCCATAGGCTTTAATAGGCATGTGGAAACTCAGCCCAATTTTTGGTATTGTAAAGAGCTTAACAACATTTTCCATTCAAATTAGCTGTAATTTGGGATTTGTATTTACAACGTTTAGAATACCATGCTGTGTGGTATTTAGTTTTGTCCGCCTCTTAATTAGGGGCAGAATGATTTCAGAATGGTCAAAGATAATTACTCTTCTAAGAATGGAATTAATTTATTTTTGTCATTTAAATTGTGCGTTGGAGACCCCATAAAGTTCATATTTTTCATCATAGTATAATTCAATGACGATCAAAGAAATAAATATTCGCCATTTTTTATGTTTCTGCCAAAATTTCCGACTGAATGCGTTTGACATTTCAGAGTTTATGTCATAGAGTCGTACATCCCAAATCTACGTTCCCAACCAAAATTCTCTGGGGGTTACAAATTCAATAGAATACAAATAAAGTCCTAAATATGAAAAAAAAAATATTCAAGACCCCGAAAATTACTTAAATCATATGATGGTTATACCAAAATGTGATCATTTTTTGCGAGGATGGTTTCTTCTCAAATTACCAACCTTTACTGAAACGAGTATGGTTAAAATGGTTAAAATGTAAACCACACTCGAAATCGGGCTGTACCCTTAACCGAAGGTCAATATCATGACCTGCAAAAGCGATTTAAGATATCTTGAAAGTTTAGGAAGAATTTCTGGAAATATAAAAATCCTTTTTTTTACTAAATGTTCAATTCGCTCTATCATTTTGCACCCTTTATATTCGGTATTTCACTGATTGCAGTCCCAATGAATTGCATTTTTTGAGTTCTCATTGAACGGATTATTGTCATATGAAAGAAGTAGGATGTACGTAAGTCACTCATTTCATTTTTAATATTATTCATTCAGAATTCAAATTGAAAAAAAAATCACACCAAACAGATTTTTTCATTCACATTTTTATTGGCATATTTTACCGCAATTTTTTGCCAGGATACCATTCTAAAATTGTATGAATTGTCAAAATCCGTCAAGCCGTTCTTTAGTTAGAAGCGTAGTACCTAACATAACTTCCTTTTATGAAAATAGTTCTTTATTTTGTTCACAAAAAATCGATTGAATTGAATATGAATTGATAAGCCAAATTGAAAAATCATTTAAAATTTAATCGTACATTATATAAAATTGACAAAAAAGAAATTCAATTGAAAAAGAAAAAAATATTCACCTTGTTCGATGATTTTTTACTGCAGAAGTTTAAAGGTCCTTGCGATGTTTGTCAATAGAATGCACTATTGTTTTAAAATCCCATTCCATTGAATTTTTTTTCGCTTAATTCGGTACTACAATTTCACGTAACCCGCCTTCAATTCCAGTTCTCAAGAAATCAAGTCAATTAAATAAATTGAATATTAATATTCGAATTCTAAAATAAAATATAAAAAACACTACAAATGTACATTAGAAAAAAATAAATCCTTATATGAAGGTATCCGCTGATTACAGCTATTTTCAGGGTCTTGGTCACATTTTTCAATTGATTTTGCCCTTATTTGACATCGTAGCTTCTATGGGGGTAGAAGACCTCTTCGCGGAAATTTTTCAATGTCAATGTTTCGGAGAAGCGCGAAGTATGGGGGTAGAGAACCATCTTACACGGGTTATATAAGCAGTTGATGTATACTTTTTTAAATATGTGGCTTATTATTTAGGTTTTTAATTCTCAAATTTAAATCTTAGCCTGAAAAATAGGATCATGTTTTTTGAAACACTATAAATTGCCCGTTACGTGAACCTGTATTGACATTTTTGCGATGCATATTTATTTCTATTTAGTCGAGTCATTATTTATACTGAAAATTGTGCCACTTATGTGAGCCAGATCTGTGAATTATTATACTTTAAAAACAATGCATTAAAGATTAAAAGTACGGGCCGGAAACGCGGATCGGGCCAGCTAGTAGTTTATAAAGTAGTGAATTAATCAATCAAAGATCCAATTTTCTATACTTACAAATTGTTCAAGTTCTGTCCCATTTTGCTGCAAGAATTCACGTTCCTGCACATTCTATTCTCATATTTAGTTTTATTTTTTTTTTTGCATAATTAAAGTTTCTGCCTCTTTTTGCCATCCTATTTATTTTAGACTTTTCTATTTTTGTAATTTAACTTGCTGACATTTTCTTTAAAAAAATTAATAAATAAACAAAAAGATAAACGTACACTTTTTCATATTTTTTTGCACTTTTCAATATTATACACTTTTGCTGTTGACGCCTCCATGCCCTTTTTATAAATGAACAGTAATTCAACTTTTTGATAGTCACTCTAGAAACAAAATGGACCTTGCATAATAAAACAAGCTGCATTTATGCACTTATCTGCAAAATATGATAAAAAAATACATAATTTTTTCACTTTTCAAACAGCTGCAATATCTTTTTAAGACTAGTCATTTTTCAATCTCTAGATGATCGGAATACGATAATAAATAACGGAAAAATAGTCACATTTTGCTTTGCGAGTTGCTTTTCGATAATACAAATCAGTTAATCATAAAATGGAGCATATTCAGTGACGAGGCCCATTTCCATCATGATGATTTTGTCGTTGAGGAAAATCCTCGAATGATTCACGAGAAAAAAATGCTTCCTCAAAGTGTCACTGTGCGGTGTGGTTTTGGGGCAGGTAGAATCAGTCATCCTTTTTAATGCAAATGAGTATGAGAATGATAACCAGTTTTTATGCCCTCAACCATAAGGTTACAGAGGGTATATATCATTTGATACGCCCAAAACATGCCTAGTCGAAATAACGGTTTTAGACCCTAGGTCTCTTTGGACCAAATCCGTTTCAGGACATTTGGAATCGATCTAGCGATGTTCGGCCGTCCGTCTGGATGGCTTGTGCGCACGATAACTCTCGAAGGGAGTATCCGATTTGATCCAATGTGGCACCTCCCACATAAAATGTCAAAATTTTTAAAGAAAATAATTTATTGCACAGAAAGAGAAAGGATGATCAAATTTTGTTCCAACTTTGCAAATCCTAATATTTTCATCAGTGCTAGGTCAGGTGTATATCGGTCCATGAGGTACCTCCCTCACAAAGGATCAAAATTTTGAATAATTACAACTCTTATAAAATGTGATGTAAGGGTCCGATTATCTTCAAATTTCACACATCTCAATAATTTTATGAACCCAATGTCTGGTGTGAAAATGCAATGTATCGATCCACTCCTTCTGGCACCCCCCACAAAAGGTCGAAATTTTCAAAAAAATATTTTCTGCACAGAAAGAGAAGTCCGATTTTGTTCGAATTCTGCAAATCCTAATATCTGCGTCAGTTCTAGGTCCACTCCATCATGTGTAAAGGGTAAAATTTTGAATAATTATAACTTTAAAAAAAATGTGATGTAAGAATCCGATTGTCTTAAAATTTCACACATCCCAATATTTTTATAAACCTAAGATCTGGTGTTAAGATGGAGTATATAGGTCCACTCCTCCCTGTATCTACCCCACAAATGGTCGAAATTAAAAAAAAATATTTTCTGCACAGAAAGAGAAACGATAATCAGATTTTACTCCAACTTTTGCAAATCCTAATATTTGTGTCAGTGCTAGGTCAGGTCCGAAAATGGACAATATCGGTCCACTCTGTTAAGTATCTCCCCCACAAATATCAAAATATGTAATAATTTCAACTCTTATAAAATGTGATGTAAGAGTCCGATTGTTTTCAAGTTTCACACACCCAATAATTTTATTAGCCCAAGGTCTGGTGTTAAGATATTTCACACATAGATACAAACATTTTTGCTAACACAAGATATGTTTGACGATGATTTTTATCTGCGAACCCCTTCTGGTACCTCTCCCACAAATGGTCACAATTTTCAATACTTTTAGCTGACATAAATTGCGAAACAACTCAGCGATTCTTTACAACTTGCTATATCTAAATATATCTCTCTTCGCCAGAACCCTGAGATGAGTATGGAATTTATGATTTTCCATAAATATGATATAAATGTTTTATTTTCTTGTAATACCCATACCAATATTTAATGTGGGTTATGCCTTTGGGTTTTTATGAAAATTACAATATGCTGTTACGTCTTAAATATAATCGTAATTTTTTAACGTAGAAGCTTACATGAGCATGTATTATATGTCTTAGATTTAACGAAAAAAATCTTGCTTTTGGGCATTTTTAGCGACTATGTGCAAAGGATGTCCCAACTAGAAAGCAATTTTTAAGTTTTAAATAAAAGATATTTAAAATTAAAATTTCTTATATCGTAAAGTAGACAGAGTGAGTTCCTATTATGCACAAGGTATTGTGCACATGGCCGCTTCGGCTTTGCTTTGCATAGTAATATTTTCAATTAACGTTTTTTAAAAATGCTGCGGTATTTCATTAATGCAGCATCCAATTTCCTCTTTTAAGGCTTGATCCGTTTTTGAAGTCGATGGTTTACGCGAATAAGCTGACGAAAACCAAACCATCGACTTCAAAAAACACAAAAGAGAAAAATATAATCGTGTTAAATCGCACGATCTACACGGCCAATTCTGGTCTCCGAAATGCGAAATAACACGACTGAAAAATGACTGATGCAGCAATTGAATTGTGTCTCCGGCTGTACGACACACGGCGTCGTCTTGTTGAAACCACATGTCCACATTCAATTCTTCAATTCTAGACAAGAAAAAACTGGTTATCATTTCACGATACCGAACACCATTAACTGTTTGTGCTTCACCTGGCTCATTTTCATTAAAAAGGTTGAATGATTCCTCCAGCCCAAAAACCTCACCGCTCAGTGACACTTTGAGGATGCATTTGCTTCTCGTGAATCATTCGAGGATTTTCCTCAACGACGAAGTCATCATGATGGAATGGGGCATAGTCACTGAATATACTCCATTTTTACAAACCTCGTACCTTCTATTAGGAAACAAAAACAATTGTTCAAATATCAAAGAAAGGTACTTCGAATGGCGCCAAATCAAAAAATTGCATTCTAGTTTGCTCTCGTCCAGAACATGCAAGAATCTACTAGTTTTGCAACTTTTTTCGATATCCTAAATGAAATATCGGTGAAAAATATTGTACATGCTTGGAACAAACAATGGCGTTCATATATATATATATATATATATATATACTAGCTGGCCCGGTTATATCATCCACCTTGGAAAGGAGGGTATATTAACTTTTCATTCCATTTGTAACATCACTAAATGTTCGTCATAGACCCCATTAAATATGCATATATATTCATAATCAGCATAAAACTCTAAGTCGATTTGTCCGTCTGTATGTCTGTTTGTTTAAATTACGATACAGCCCACATTATTTGACGTACAGCGTCAAAATTTAGCCGAAAAATTTGTATTGTGTATAGGATGGTTGGTATTGAAAATGATCTATCGGTTCACGTTTTGGTATAGTCCCCATATAACGGTATCTCTCGAAATTCCGTATTTTGATGATTTTTGCCACATTTCTCCTCGGATTTGTCTAACACATATAACGATACCTACCTATATTGGGTATGTTGATAATCCACACATTTACGCGTATAATTGTTTCAAATTTGGTATTTTAGAAGGTTTGATAGATGACAATCCTTGAAGTATAAAATTGTCCACAGAGGTTCCCGTTTTGGTATGGCCCCATATAACGGCGGTCATTCACTTTATGGTTTTTTGATAAGTTAACTGCATTATTCAAACAGTCTTACTGGTATATGAAGTTTAAAGTGAAACACGCTTGAATTTAGATACTTTTATATAAAAATGTTTCATTTACCCTCAGATGGATGATAGTAATAATTCTGCCCGGCCGAACTTAATTTTTTTACTTGTTTTTATAGTAATATGAATTATTTGTCATTGAAATTGCGCGTTGGAGAACCCATAATTTCCGTATCTTTTATCATAGTATAATTCAAATACGATTAAACAAATGTCCGGTTCCTTAAATCATATGATGGTTATACAAAACGTGATCAGTTTTTGCATAGATGGTTTCTTCCCAAATTACCAACATTTGCCGAAATTAGTATGAAAATATGGTTAAAATGTAAGATCTACTTGAAATCGGGTTGTATCCTTATCCGGGGGTTATGGCCCATATCATGAACTGCAAAAGTGATTTAAGGTATCGTGAAAGTTTAGGAAGAATTTCTGAAAGAATAGAAATCCTTTTCCCTTTATATTTGGTATTTCACTGATTGCAGTCCCAATGAATTTTGCATATTGAGTTCTCATTGGACGGATCATTGTCATGTGATAGAAGTAGGTAGGTCCACGTGTTTAAATGAGCCCCATAACGATTTGTCGGTTATTTTTTGTTTAAATGTGTTCGCATCTTCGAGCTGAAGCACGATGTAGATCCTGGAGTTGAAAGCTAAATGCCAATTTCAGACATGAAAGATCGCCAGTTAACATCTTATTGCGTACTATTTCATTTTTGATATTATTCATTCAAAATTCAAAACAATAAAAAATGTGCACTTCTTTAGTTTTTAAATTGAAAAAATTTCACGCCAAAAGGATTTCTTCTTTTATATTTTTATTGGCATATTTAACGCAATTTTTTTGCAAGATTCCATTCCGAAGTTGTATAAATTGTGAAAATCCGTCAAAACGTTCTTGAGTTATAAGCATAGTAACTAATAAACAAATTGAAAAAAATCTTCAACTTGTTCGCTGGTTTTTTACAGCCAATATTTAAAGGTCCTTACGAAGTTTGGTCCTTACTATTATTTTGAAATTTGATTCCATTGAAAAAATGTTCTCAGTTTTTCCCTATTTAAGAGTTTTTGCAGTGCAATATGCTCTTTTTTGATTTTTTAGTAATTTTGGTTTGACCACGTTAAATTATTCTGACATCATCTATTCAGTTCCGCCACTCCATAATTTTCGTCGCGTTCTACTACCCAAAAAGACTACACATCATATTAGAATTAAAAAAAAAAAAAACACTACAAATGTACATTCCGAAATAGCAAATCTAAATGGAAAAAAAATCATGCAAAATAAAACATTACTATTGTACACTTCAAAAGTCAAAATGAAAATTTTAAAATTTCACATTTTTACGCGATTTTTTGGATTATATCCTCTATATATATATA